TCCACCCCACTAGCAATAAAAAATAATAATAAGTTCGGACACGGTTGCCGCAGTCTTCGATGGCCTCGTACAACTTAGACAAAACTGGAAGCAAATTAGACATGGCTGGAACAAATGGTTCCGGCGATACAGCATCTGTAAAATGAACTAACTGTACTATAATAATCGTGACTAATATTTGTGGAATTATATGAACGTAAGAACAAACGAGCCAGATCACCAAAAACGCATCATATTCGAACTCAGATCCGTAGCTGACTGATCTGACAAATGTTTACTGTTTCATTTAGCCTCTTAAGATGAATTCCATTACAATATTCTGATTTCTAAGAAATCTTTCCCCCACTTCGGGTTTCCCATTCTTCTTGACGACACACATCCTCTGCAGTTCGTGTTTCACCATGAACACGGACGAATATAGAAAAGAAGAGAGCAGAGGACAAACTGAGTACTGTACTCAAAAGAAGAAGAGTAATGATAATTTGTTTACAATATACTCACATACCCAATAACAACAAGTATCTCATTAAACATCTAGAAAATTTCGAAATGTGGTGTTGGAGAAGGATGGAGAAGATTAGTTGGACCGATTATGTGAGAAATGAAGAAGTGTTAATTAGAGTCAGTGAGCAGAGGAATATCCTACACGAAATAAGAAAACGGAAGGCTAATTGGATTGGTCATGTTTTACGCAGAAACTGCCTTCTAAAAGAAGTTATTGAAGGAAAGATAGATGGGCGGATAGAAGTGACAAGAAGACGAGGAAGAAGACGTAAGAAGATGCTGGATGACCTTGGGGAGAGAAGAGGATACTGTCATTTGAAGGAGAAAGCTCTAGATCGCATTAAGTAGAGGAATTGTTTTGGAAGAGACTGTGGACCTGTCGTCTGACAGATTACTGATGATGATGATGTCATTAAACATGAGATTATACTTCAAGTGAATAGAGACCTACTTAGTATTTCTTGAAAATATGCAAATATTGAAGAAAGCAGTCTCCTGGGATGTGGCACCACATCTACGCTGTGCCACATCCTAGGAGACTGCTTTCTTCATAGTCAGCGCCGTGGAAACCTCAAATCTTATATATGCAAATACTGTTCAGTACGAAACAGAATGTTAGCATTATTTCACGGCCACTAAAGGGAGCATTAATTCATTAAATGCATGTTGATACATTTATTTCAGTCTTTTTCCACGTCCTTCCCAGTTCATTACTTACTAACCAAACCATCATTCGACCTTAAATAGTGTTGCTTTCGCTGATTAACTTCAGATTTCGACGTTATGAAAATGTATTTGAAGAGCCTTTTGCTGAACTCTAGAGGAGGGTGTTGCACGTTGTCTGATGTTTGTTCAATACTGACGAGATTTCGGGAGCTGGATATACTAGCATCTTCAGATGATTAGCTGCAATTTATTAATCGATCAGCGTATTAGTATTAGTGTTAATGGTAATAATAATAAAGAATGGAAAAGCAATGACAAATCGATCAGTATAACAAAGAGCAATGTGAAGACGACGGAAGAGAGAAACTAGAAAGGGTCGTTATTTTGTTCTTATATTCTTATTTATAGAACAGGCCTACAGCTTGTCACAGAAAATGGACAATATGTAACATAACATTCGCATAAATCAACCATAGCCACAGACTTTGAAATAATCAATAAAGAAGTTCAGACACTGTCCCTTGACTTCAATTTTTAAGTGAATCTTCCTTTGTCCGCAAGTAAACTGGTTGATGCAGCACCTTTTTTTTATTGCTAGTGGGGTGGGACTAAGTTCCTTGTACTGCGGCCACTTCTGGCCTATTGTACCAGCCCCAGAGGATAGGCGAGGGTGATTGTGGAGCAATTGGTGGAATTTGGCAGAGGAAACCGGAGTACTCGGAGAAAACCTTCCCCAGCGCCACTTTGTCCACTACAAATCCCACTTTAACAGACCCGGGATCGAACACAGGCCGCCGCGGTGGGAAGCCAGTGACTAACCGCTTGAGCTATGGCGCGGCCCATGCAGCACCTTTACATTATACGCAAGCCACAGAACCCTTTAAGGCATCCGAATTTTCACCAGTTTTATTATATTCGACGTAAGGGCTACTACTGAAAGTAAACTTAACTGTGCATTACTGAGATTGAGCGTGTTTTCACCATTCGCTCACTATAAACCTCACGTAACTTCACAATGCGTTGTCTTTAAAAAAAACATATTTGTATTCGTTCAAAAGACTACGAGTGCCCGGACTGCATTATGAGAGAACACTAAGTGCGCTGCTGTGATGATATGATAATTTAGAGAATGCTTCCATTTTAGTAGAAAATGAACATCCTGAGAAGTATTTTAAGCCTTGCCTCTTGTGGCAGCATTTCACATGAGCGTTACAGCTCCTATGCTACAAGGGTGCACTTTGTGACTATATTAGTTAAACGGGATATGCACGCCAATTCGTCCTCGACTTATATGATTTGCGATTGCATGGAATAAATTTTGATGAAATTACACGGATTACCATTCTACCACAAAATGTAAATTAAATTTTATGGAATATTTCCTAAACTAACAGCAGAAATTTTCAAGCCAGAATATTATTTATATATGCATTTATATAATTGAGGAGCTATTTCAAGGAAATAGTGGCTCCGGGCTAGAAGACCGAGATTACCGGCAGTGGGGATCCGTTGCGATGACCATATAACACTTTCTATCCGCAAAAGTTAGCACTAACTTCGCCGACAAGCGGCGGTGGCTCGGTCGATATACTTCGCTTGCGGACTACAGGCAGCGGAGTTTGTTTTGTTTCATGCATTTATAAATTTACGGCTTATTTAATGATGCTGTCAGTATCTCAGACGATGTGGCGTCGAACGATAAGTTGCTTAGTGAATAATAAAGAGGAAAGAAATAGTCGTGACATAATATGTAGGGATTTCTGTGGAGGGATACATAAGGAACATCCGATACACGGCGTCTCTGTTGAGATTCGCGCCGGTTTTCTCTCGAACACGTGTCAGAAATGTTACAGCTTGAGCGAACATACTTAGTCACGTTAAAATATTTTCTTCCAAATTAAATTAACAGATATATATTCTTCATATGAAAGTCATGCCTCTATGCCTTTCTGTATTTCCGTAACATAGCATCAGCAGTGACTGAGGTTAGCTCTTTCTAAGCGACCCAGAAAAGTAGGTTTCTCCCCCTCCTTCACCCGAAGACGGAATGAAGTCCAGTTTGGGGCCGCGCCATAGCTCAAGAGGTTAGTCGCTGACCTCCCACCGCGGCGGCCCGGGCTCGATCACGGGCCTGGTCAAGTGGAATTTGTGGTGGACAAAGGACGCTGGGGCAGGTTTTCTCCGAGTAATTCGGTTTCCCCTGCCAATCTTCATTCCGCCAATTGCTCCACAACCACCCTCACCTATCATCTGGGGCTGGTACAATAGGCCAGAAGTGGCCGCAGTACGGGACTTAGTCCCACCCCACTAGCAATTAAAAAAAGTCCAGTTTCCGAAACGCTAAGTTTTATAGTTTCTAGAATACCGAAAGATGGACAAGGTCCAAAAACCCAGCAAGTCTGAGCATTATACACCATCGTCTCAACCCTTTGTATTCAGTAATGTTATATGTAAAAATGTAGCTGTTTAAATATCTCTTGCTAAAAGAAATAAAAATGTCTATTGTTGGATCAGGTCTGACTGCTACTTCAACTACGCAAAATATGTTTTATCTTATAAATATTAACGAAGTATATATAAGTTTGCAATACTGAATGGGTTATATTTAATGTTACGTGCTTTATCGGCATGTTGAACTTTCTAGAGAATATCTGATTAAATGCCCGCCTTGATACGAACTAAGTACATCTGCAGAGCAGTCTCTCTGCTGAGAAGCTGGTATTCTTCCAGCTGGTTAAAAATTTTTTCGCCTTCTATGGAACCTGATGAATCTTTACCGTGAAGACAGAAGCTAGCCAATGGATATTATCCTAAGCCAGTTGCATCCAGTCCACACATTCACACCCCATTTATGTGAGATACATTTCAATACTGTGTTCCTCATTAAACTTTGGTCTCTTAACCGGGTTCTTATAATCTCGAGCGTACTTTCATCCCCCCGAAGTAGCCTACAAACCATCTTGAATGAAAAATACGCCAGTTTAAGAAGACGAAAATGAAGCAAATGTTTCATCTACACGTTTTTTAACTTATCTTTATTGTCATAAACGTCGAATCGATAATACATAACGAAAACCGTAAATTTTACTGATCTTAATACAGGCCTACAGGTTTCCCAACTAAATTCCCGTAAAATTGAAAAATATTTAAATTACCATAAATATAACTAAATGAGAAAAACATGTGTTTATACTGCTACAGAATGGCTTACTTCTGAAAGTTTTAAAGTTAATTATGCCTACATGAATGCTTTCTGCGTATTATTTCCTGAAGATACAGACTAACGAAAATTGAACTAAAATTAAGTGACAGATCTTGGCAATTGCCCGGCAGAAATCGTGTTAGAGAATCGGAATTGTTTTGGGGACAGAAAGTGGTCATTTATGTCTATTTGTTAGATGCTGCAGCATGTAATATGGCCTCAAATTATTTTGTTTAATGCATTTAGAGTATTTTGTGGATGGCTGCATATTCATTTTTTTTAGGAATGCGCTAAATTATGTTAATTTAATTGTCACCAAGAAGTATTTAGAAGCCTGTGGGGAAATACTTAAATAACTGCAACATATTAACAGGTTTTGTTTTTCTGACATGCAATAAATCACGAAACATCCCTACATTGGTGTTAAAATAGTTGTTTACTTAATTGGAATATTCTTGAGAGCTCCCAGAAGCACAGTTGTCCCTAATTTATCTTCTTTGTTGACAGATAATGAGCAAAGCTTTAAAAAGATCATATTCTGATATCCAATTTGACGTACAACAGCGCAGGGAATAAAATGTTCCAATGTATCACCCTCAATATAAATAAGGCAGAAGACCTATCTTACCTTGTGCCGCTTAGCGTCCAGTTAGTTCTGTAGTCCAACTTACACACGCATATATATTCAGCACTTCACCCAAATAAGAAAAACTGTCAGTTATCATTATTTCCTTATAAAACTTGAGTTACATGAAATAATAAGTCGGTTCACACGCACTGAGGCCACTTAACACTAAAAACACTTGTCAGTTATGCAAAACTCCCGTTCACGACAATAAATCTATTAGATATCACTTAATTATAAAGCTCATTTTAATCCAAAATGACGTCTACCTAATTCACAATCAAGTTTCAAACACGTATCTGTGACAGTGAATACTGTAAAAGGGTNGCAAAACTCCCGTTCACGACAATAAATCTATTAGATATCACTTAATAATAAAGCTCATTTAAATCCAAAATGACGTCTACCTAATTCACAATAAGTTTCAAACACGTATCTGTGACAGTGAATACTGTAAAAGGGCGCAATAATAATGTTCGAAACATTAAAATGAAAAGAAAGGTTGGATACAAGGTATAAATATTCACCTGAAATGAAATTCGTAGCAGTTGATTAATTAAAAATTATATTTAAACATTTAATGGTTGACGAAACTTGCCCAATCTGACGGGTACAGGCCATCGACTACTTGCAAACGCGCGCCGTAACATATCTACGGCCAGACTGAGCCCGCTCTTCGTCACGGCTCCCCTCTCCACCTGTCTCCCTCCCTCTCATTCGACTGCAGCTCCCAAACATTTCCGAAGTACCTACACACCTCACACCAAACCTAGTAACACTGGCCCTGCACGTACAAATCCCAAAGGCCTATTTGAGTTGGATGCACTTTCGGTCGACGGCTTAACTACTAATTAGTATAATTAAGACTAGTATAACTATAGCATTAATATGTAGAGCGACATGAAGGGGAGGGGGAGAAGGTTGAATTGATATTAGAGTTGACGACATGATCATCATCAGTGGCTTCATGTATCAACATCAAGAGAAAGATCAGAGAACAGAATCATGAATAATTTACAGAGGCCTGAAATCAATGATTGTTTCATATCGCCCTTTCGCAGTTCGCATAATGTATATTTGCACAGTGATTTGAGGGAGGCGGTCACCAGAGCTGTGGTATGCTAACATTGGCTTATCTGACAACAGTATTGGTTCATTGAACAACAGTGAACCTCATGACGACCATTCCACGTAACCAGAGTTCCTGTGCATATTTTTGTTGCATAGTCTAAAGGCTTGAACATTAATAAAAGAAGTAACTGTACTTCAGGTAAGTAAAAAAAAAACGTAAAGTTATTCCTCTAACAGGCCGTGGAGGCCCATAGGGTTGTGAGATATTGAGGCTCCCACATTTTCTAGACAATCGGCTCATAGATGGCGGCAAGACTGTCAGCCCTACGCGCCGGCCGACCTTTAACCCCAAGAATATTCCAAGAATATTCCTGGTACTCATTTCTGTTATGTTAGTGTAGCTGGAAGGATTAGGTAAATTGAAAGAAAAAATCCAATGACCTCATCGGGACTTCAACCTGCGACTTTCCGGCTTGTAGCATAGTGCCTCAACCAACTGAGCTACCGCGTGCCCTCACTTCAGGCAAAGTTAATGAAGATAAATAAATTCATTATAATCAAGGGCATATAACATTTTTTGGGTCCGGCCAATGAAAAATAGTAAAGAGTAACATGACAAATATTTACTCATATCGTGTGAGTGCGTGCGTGCGCGTGCACGAGAGAGAGAGAGAGAGAGTGTGTGTGTGTATGTGTGTGTGTGTGTGTGTGTGCTAAATATACAGGGTGTTTCAGGAATATGGGTATATTCAAACTGTCATCTTTTGCCACATGCTACGTTTCATATTTCTTGGTAGGTCATTACAAAGCTCGAACTTATGCGCTGTTTCCTAAGTTCTCGAAGAGGCATTCCGAACTTCAATTTAGTTTCAAATTTCAGATCTGGATTGATGCTATATTATTACAAAATCTTCCAGATATGGAATGTTTCCATGTAGACTGGGTATATTTCGGTTTCTTGCGCACACGGAAATTAAACTTCCGATTCATAAAAAGCGCGGATTTGTTTGAATAGCTGAGTTACTCTTATATTTTGAAGAAAGATTTTGCGCTATGAGATTTGCTACTTTGTTTAATATTACTGCAAAAGAAGTTTGCTGAGGGGTGTTAACATTTTTCATAAGAACGAATGCAACCTTACATTTCCTACCAACGTCACTCCTTGCGACATTAATTTCTGAAAGATGGTCAATTTGTAGAGAAGGCCTACAGCTTTCTGGTGGGTGGGTGGGGGAGTTATTACTTCGCTCACAGGATTTCTCTACTTATCCTCAGGTACAGATTACTCCATAAACAATCGAATTATTAAAATGTCTTCGTCGGCACGAAACCAAGGAGCACGACGCTCATAACAAAACTCCGTCATTAGACTCTATCATTAACCAATTAAATCCATTTAACCTCAGGAATTAATTCCATAAAATGGGTTATTACAATCAGTGTAATGAGAATTGGCAGGGGAAGCCGAAGTACTCGGAAATAACCTGTCCCACAATCACTTTGTTCACCACAATCCCACTGACCTGACCCGGGCTCGAACCCGGGCCGTCGCGTTGGGAAGCCGGCGACTAGCAGCTTGAGCTATGGCACGGCCAGGCACAAGTGTTTGTCTCTTAGTCCCGTCAGTCAAACGGACTGCTATTCAATGGGTTGTAGGACCTCTCATCATAAAGCTATCTACTGCCGAAGTTAAGAACGGGTGGAGTCATAAGCCTACCTCAAATGCCCCATACGGCTTTATGGCGTGGTACTTAGTTAAACACAGGGACGCATTTAACTAGATAAAATATTCCTATTAGACTGTAGATGGTCGCGCAACGCCGAACTGGAATCTCGCGTGACGCAGTGAGTTCTCAGGAAAGAGATACAAGCTTCCGTCTCGCTTCTCTTTAGCACAGAGCTGCAGAGGAGTGCGAATGCAAGCTGCCCCTGTGGTGTCGTATTCCGTAGCGTAGGCAAGTTACAGGCGCACCAAAGTAGCCTCTCCCTCAGTCTCTCACATGTCCTTCCTATGCCTCTATTAATATTATAATCAAAGCGTAGTGAACGGGCAAGTACTAAACTTTGAAACTGATTTTGAATGAAGTTTCCTGCAGTGACACCAATTCTGAATTCTTGAAGGCTTAGCTAAACGTCGAAAACATAGAACATGTGGTTTCGGAATTATGAGTTTCGACATTCTTGTTTAATTCTCTTCCCCTTAATGTAGTGCTGACTTGGGCCATACCATAGCTCAGGCCGTTAATCGCCTGCTTCCCATCCAGGTTCGATCCCAGGTCAGGTGATATGGCATTTGTATAGACAAAGTAGCACTGGGGCAGGGTTTTTTTCGAGTATTTCAGTTCTGCCTGCCAATTCTCATGCCACCATCAATGATACTGGGCTGGTACAATAGGCAAATTAGTGCCCAACGTACCAAGTGGACTCAGTTTCACCCCCACCTCACAAAAATTTAAAAAAAAATGTCAGGAACACAGAGAAGGCAGAAGCAGGGCACGAGTAAGGAAGCCCCATTCGAGACATTCCGAAACGAAGACTTCAAGGCGTATAATTCTCAATTAAAACTGAATACCTGCAGTTCTAGAATACAGTAAAAATATAATTATATTTCACCGTGGGTCCGACACATTCATATTCACGACATGTAAAGAAAATTATTACTCTGAAATATGTCCATGGATATTTAATTGTATTAAATTTAATAAGATTTTATCGGGTATGAATGTTAATTTAATTCTGTCAGCAGTTCCGCTCAGTCGGAGCGCTATGACGTCAGAACAAAAAGCTACTTCCCCAACACATCCGTTTATCTTGAACATGTGACGGAAACAGAGTGATGTAGAATAATGCGCGAAAATCGTACAGTGAAAGGGTGAAAGTCATCTCATTTATATTCAGACACTACCTCTGATTACTGATCACACGTAGTACAGACAAGCAGCGGCATTCACACAAGAAGACTACATTAAATAACACCTGTACAGTGTGAAAACAAGAACTAGCCGCTCCAGCACTTAGACATAGGGCGAGTAACCCTAAGAATTTTAAATTTTAAATTTAAAATTTAGAGAAAATTTTAAAAGATTTTAAAAACATCATAACTAAAGATTTTTAGAGTGCTACTACAAGAATATCGGGTTTGACGTGTGCAACATAATCTACATACCAGACACATATCAACGATGTAGATGTTGATAATACGAAGAACGTGACATTGTGTTTTTAAATGTTAAGTTTTAGACTGGGTTCAGTGTGGCAGCAACGTTAAGAGTATACACCTGATGATGGCCGATAGAGGCCGAAACATGTAGTGTAGAAAGAACAAGATCAAAGACATATAAATGTATATTGTTTGCACTTAGGACGGAGTTTGTATCATTTATACTGATTTAACGCCAAATTATCGATAGGAGCACATGTCGTGTTACAGAATTCGCTACATAGACTGAACAAAACCGCGAAACATTAGGATTCTCGGTACAAATTGAAAAACGTGCATAGCTAGTCAACGGCTTGGTAAACACATTTCCTAGGTTACGCAGCCAACAGAAGAACCTTCTGCTAGGTAAACATGTTCCTAACACAGTCAACTATAGAACTTCGGTTGCTTGGTAGCAGACGTTTCAATAATCACGTTTCCGGTACAGTGGAGTTGTCACAGGGGCAGTACTGAAAGCCTGGAAGGCGGTGAGCTCTATTCGATTTTCCCGAAGCTATGAATGGAGGTCAGGCCAGTTGTAGTAGGCGACGAAAAGGGAACCCAGTGCCTGGAGGTATAACCGGGCCACCCTCTTCCTGGGGGATATACGTGACGTAAATACGGAGACCTGGCGCTCCAGGTTTGGGGAGTCTCGAATCTGAGACAGTAAAATGTGGTGGTGAGTCCCAAGGGACTCGGACCTGTGAATGACTGTGCTGGCCCACCATTAGCAATTGTAAACGACAGGCCCATCCTCTCGTCAGAGAGGATGTTACATAACGATTATAAAAGCAAATGTTCAGCTGGAAAATAAAAATTCTGGTCGTGGGTCTCAAGGGGCTTGTCGCGAAGACGAACTGACTGGCGCTAAACCGCCAGTCGTAAAGTAGACAGAGCAGATAGAAAATTTGAGGTTTCCACGGCGGTGATTATAAAGAATGCCGTATTCTGGGTTTTTGCGCCGTGTAGGCAGTCTGCAGCCACCTCCTCACGCTGACTCTTCGCTAGCCGATTATTCTACCCTGAAGATGGAGGCAATATTTTCCTCCGAAACG